AAAAAAATTAGCAAAGCATGGGGCATGTCTTCAATTGTTTTTCCTTACAGCGCCAACTATATTTGAAACATTGTCTGTGACAACTGCAGATATTTTATTTTCAATATTCCATTTTTTAGTAGTAGCCATTAAAAACTTGGCAAGTTCATCTGACGTGCACAGGTCTTTTAATTAATGCAACCAATTAGTTTAGAACAAAATTTAATCTCTGAATTTAGAAAATGGACGGTTATGGCTATATAATGTTGGCTGTCGATTGATGTCCAACCATTTGTAGTCAAAGATAAATCAGTCACAAAATTTAAGTCAGTTTAAACTTTTTAAAGAACACATCGGTATATTTGTATAAATTAACTGATGAAGAAAAAATGTAATTTGGTTCAAGCATTTTAATTAGATTACGGAATTCTGTTTCTTCAACCAATGAAAATGGATGGTCATTTTTGACAGTAAATTCAGTGATCTGTTGGTCGATAGCTTATGATTTTGAGAGAGAAATGGGTTTACTCATACACTATATGTCACTTTGTCTATGTAGATTGGATGTTGATGTCCCTACTGCTTCAAAAACTATTCTCGAGGAACTTGTAGATACTGGCACTTCGGATGGGTCATCAATGTTCTCAATGTTTACCACCCGTCGTCTTTTTATTGGCACAGTTAAATGTTTTGCTTTTAGATGTCAAATAAGGTTACTCGTTGCCCCACTACTACAAGTAATAGTAAGATGATTCCATACTGTAAGGGAAGCGGCAAGCCAGCTTGATTTTTGCCGGGTTTGCTGCGTTTGGAACAGCATGGTCAGAATATAATTCACCCACGTCGCCGCGTTCACGTAGGACTTGTGTTAAGGTGCGTCCACATTAGAGCAAATTTGTGTGTGCGTTGTATTTAGAATTTGAATTTTGTGGCGTGCGTCAAAAATTAGACTAGTTTGGACAGGTCGACACATGCTCAGCTTGTGCGTTTGCATTCGCGCCGTACAACGCACACGATCCAAACGGCTGTCGGTCTCTTGGTCAAGATCAAAGGAATTTGTGTGTTTGCGGCGCTCAGTTTGGACGTCTTTTTCGTGGTCTATTTTATTACGCACACGCGCAGTGAACAAATCAATAGTTAAAATAAAACTTAACGAATTTGTGCGATTATTTTAATAATTTATTAATATGGAGTGGAGTAAAGACGATTGTTTGATGCTCATACAAGAGTACCAAAAATATAAATTGTTATGGGATGCGAAAGATCCATTTCATTATTCGAAAACAAAAAAGCACGACGCATGGTGTTCTCTTGCTAAACTGTTTAATACAGACCATGAAGAGGTTAGGAAAAAAATGGCAAGTCTGTCGATATCTTTTCGTAGAGAAAAGGCGAAAGGAAAAAAATCTATGGGAACAGGAAAAGGTAAGTACCTACTTACAAATTTACGTAATCATTAAATAGTAATATTACTATAATAACTAAAAATAACAACTTGGTAACATAACTATATAGTTTGTAACGGTACACATATATTTTATGGTTATAGGCGCTATGGAAGTGTATATTAGCAATTGGTTCGCTTTCAAAAGCATGTTATTTTTAGCAGATAAGGATCAGCCAAGACCAACTTTGAATACAGAAAGTGTATGTATAAATGTTATACTAATAATAGCAAATAATAATAAATAATAAATTAACGTAATAATTTTAATTATAATATTATTATAATAAATGTTATACTAATAATAAAAAACAGTTAATAAGTTAATAATAATAAAAAAATACTCTATGCGTGATTGAACTGCCACGGTACTGCTCCATTTGTAGTAAAATAATCAGAAAAATCTTCTCTGATTTCCTTAGCTAGCTCTGTTGATCTGCGTGGAATATTTTGAATGGGACGTAGTGAAGTAAGATCTCCCGAATGATTTCTCCAACTTCCAGAAACTATATTACCATTTACCTCTTTATCCAACGCTGTAGGAGCCATATAATTATTTTTTGATGTTTCACTATTGTTTAAGAAATTGTGCAAATGTATTACTGCCATAACTATAATTGTTGCTTTGTTTGGTTCTAATAATAGAGGTTTTCTTAACACTCGAAACATAGCGGACATTATCCCAAACACGTTTTCCACTACTCTTCGGGATCGACTAAGGCGATAGTTAAAAATCCTTTGTTTTGACCCAGAAGGATGTAGTCCTGAATATGGCTTCATTATATTTTGTGTTAAAGGGAAAGCCTCATCTCCCAAAATTACATAAGGTAATTTTTTGTTTTTACCCGGTAAAGCGGACCATGATGGTAAATTCAGACAATTTTTTTCGAGATTTTTGAATAAATCACTATTACGAAAAACTCCTGCATCCGAGATTCTGCCCTGACATCCTACATTAGCATATAATAAATTATACTCGGCATCTACTAAGGCAAACAATACGATGCTGAAGAAAGATTTATAATTATAATATTCACTTCCACTATGAATAGGAGCTTGAAGTACAATGTGTTTTCCGTCCATAGCTCCCAAGCAGTGTGGAAAATTCCAAAGACTTTCAAATTTTTCAGATACTGCTAACCATTCATCCGGATTTGAGGGCAACTGAAAATGTTATAAAAATTGTTACTTATATAATGTATTATGTCGAATTTAAAGCTATTTAAAAGCATCTTCAACCTTCGATTTTTTTAAAAAAAATTTTATAAATTATAATAAAAAATGTTTCCCTCTGTCAAAGTATTTGAAAGTTTACTACATGATTCGAATACCAAACGGCGCAACATTATGATAATAAAATACATTTCCAACAATGTACACGGTATATGAAAGGTACCATTACTAATGTTCGTAAAATATTAAAATTGTATTAAAAAAGGTGGGCAAGTGGGTGTAGCTCTGCTGTACAGTAGGCTACAAGTGAGTCACTGTAATGGATAATGTTAAATTTGAATCCAATGATATAATATCATTGTATAAGAAAAACGATTCTGAGCGAAGACGGTCAGTCAGCCTACCTATGATATTACTAAGTATATATTTTGATGGTATTATTGTGAATAAAGTAATTTATATATTATAAACTATTTACGTGGAACCTTGTTTTAAATTTTCAATCCTCAACTATAAAAGTTGAACATTTTATACATTTTTAACTACAAAATAATTTTAAAATTTAAATTTGATAAATTTTGTTAAAATTTTAACCTTAAATGTTTATAAAAATAATTGTGCCTATGTATTTTTAATATTTTTCAACTACTATTGTAACAATATATCAGGAGCCTTGTATTAAATTTTCACGCTTTTTAACCCAACAAACAAAATTTTATTGACAATTGTACAAAAAAAAACTAAAAAAATTGAAAACTGAAAATGTCCGCAAATAACTCAAAACGATTCAAAATATTTTCAAATTTGTATGGTGTATAGAAAATGAGAATATAAAAATATTATGATATTAGTGATATTACCAAATCATTATTTCGACTACTTATCTTTTACAGACCAAAATAAAAAATTAAAAAAAAATATAAAACACATAAATCATTGTACATTAAATATATAGGTTGCTCCGTTCAGATCTAAAATGATTGTAATAATATTGTTATAAATAATTATAATTTTAGCACACATTTTTAAGTTTTAATTTTTATAGGGTGGTCATGACAGTGATCTTGACAAAACTTTAGAGGTTTTTGACAATATCAGAGATTCAGAGAAAGATAACGAAGAATTAGTTAATTGTTCAGATGAAAACATACTCCATGATAATTTGTTACAAACGAATACTATAAGTGAAGCTATTATTGAACCAAATTTGACCCAAGACAAAAGTGAATTTGTTGTACCTTCATCTCCTAAGCCTGTCAAACCGAAAACTAAGCGTCTTAAAAAATCACTGATTGAAGAAGATCCTAGAATACAAGAAGCTTTTGATTTTATAAAGGCACCCATACAAAATCCTAGTCCGTCTTTGGTTTATGCGCAATACATCGCAAATAAATTAGACACTTACCAGGGACAGACACGTGCATTAGTAGAACACGCAATACATAATGTATTTTTTGAGGCAGATATGGGTAAATTTAACCATTATTCTTCTATTCAAAATAATCCCCCAAATTCTTCGTACTACTCACAACAATCTCATGTTCCACATTACTCCATGCCAACTGATTTGGTAGCAGATATCCAAACTACTCCTGCATCTCCTTATATAAATGTAACTTCGCCAGGTTCTGTATCCTCAGTTACGGACTCCTCTACTACACCACAAGCAAGTTATTCCAATTTACAAGATTTTTTTCACGAGTTCTCTAATTAACTATTTTTTTTTTATTATCACTTTATTCCTATAATGTATTTAATATATTGTAAGCTCAATTACAAATTCAAAGGTGAATTATTTTATTAATATTTTTATTTATTTTAGAATTAATATTATATTATTTTAAATATATTTTGTATGCTCAATTGAAAAATTCAAGGCTGAATTATTATACTATTGTTTTCAAATAATTAAGACATATAATATTTTTTTTAATATATTGTATGCTCAGTTACAAATTCAAAGGTGAATTATTTTATTATTATTTTTTTTAATTTTAGAATTAATACTATATTATTTTAAATATATTTTGTATGCTCAATTAAAAAATTCAAAACTGAATTGTTATACTATTGTTTTCATATAATTAAGAAATATAATATTTTTTTTAATATATTGTATGCTCAGTAACAAAATTCAAAGGTGAATTATTTTATTATTATTTTTTTTAATTTTAGAAATTAATACTATATTATTTTAAATATATCTTGTATGCTCAATTAAAAAATTCAAGACTGAATTATTATACTATTGTTTTCAAATAATTAGGACATATAATATTTTTTTTAATATATTGTATGCTCAGTTACAAATTCAAAGGTGAATATTATTATACTATTATTTTGTTTTATTTTAAAAATATTATAATATTGTTATGTAATATTTTAATTAATAAAAAAAGTAATTTTATATGATTATGTATTTTACCTTAATGTTATCTTGAAGTCCTTCAATAAGTGCTTCACAAACTTCTGGAATAATAAGTGATATTATTTGTTTGGACATCCCAAAAAGGTACTGCAAACTTGTGTACGAATCACCGGTAGCAAGAAAGCGTAAAGTAACCGCTAATCGTTCTTTGACTGGAATTGCTTTCCGAAAACGTGTATCACTTTTTTGTATTTTTGGCCCAACCATATTTATTAAAGTCTCAAAATCTTGTGAAGACATCCGAAGAAAATTTTTGAATTGTCCAGTGCTTTCGTCGAATTTTAAAGTGGATAACAAACTTGAGCCATTGTTATGTAATTTATTTTGGTATAACTTTGTTATCCACCAACGTCTTTGCCGATGTTTTGTTTTTGTTTTTGTTTTTTTATTTAATATTTGGTGAATGACTATAAATGCTGCGGCTTTTTTTTTTCTGATTTCAATTTCATTCATAATGAGTGATGACTAATATGAACCTATTATTACTAATAAATAATAAATAATAAAATAAAATAACTAAAATTGTGGATACACACTACACAGTTGTTAACACTGTTAACTACTACAGAATATACAGCCACAAAGTCTGAGCATGAAAATACAACGTACAACGCACAATATACAAATTAAACATAATCCCAATTTTCGGCGTACGTGCGCCAGTCGAGATTAAAATTCAACGCACACACAAATTTGCTCTAATGTGGACGCACCTTTACACAAATATTATTAATTTTTCTATTCAATTTTTTTATCTGTTATACATAGTAGGCTGGTCCTTATTTTTTAACTTTCAAAATTTCGACTCAGGTACCCACCATTTTGCTCATTACAATGAGTAAGTTATCTGGGCTAAATTTGGTTATAATGACTCACCCCCTTCCCGTGTCTCAAGATGGTTGAACATTTGCCATAGAGGGTAGTTTTATAGTTTTTTTAATTTAACTCAAAAACTATAGTATTTAGCGGAAAATGTATGGAAGGTTAATTATATATTTTATTATTCTTCATAAAAAATATATTTACAAAATTTGTCGTAAGTCTGTTATTTTCCTAGAAAAATAGTAAAGTACGAAATATTTTATTTTTTTTTTGCAAAATAGATTTTTTACATTTATTCAAAAAAAATTGTAAAAATACGATAAAATTTCTTTAAAAATCGAACAAAATTTAATTTCTTGAAAAAAATGTAATTTGTAATAGGTAACTAAATTTATGTAAATTAGGCAAATTATATAGAAGTTATTATAAAATTGTATTTTAACTATCCCATTTTATTATAAGTTTGTTTTAAAACTTCACAGCTGAATCCCGGGTATTGCTTCCTATAATCTTGAACAATCTAAAATAATAAATAATACATTTTAATAAATTCCTAATTATTCCACGAGCAAAAAAAAAAATAAAAAATTACCTGCAACACGTATTGTTTCTGTTCCTCTTGTTTCGTAAATTTGTCGTTGAACTCCTCCATCAATTTCACACCTCTTTCTGCACTATCATTGACAACTTTTAATGTAGCTATAATATCCTTTGCTTCTTTATATTCGGTGGTTATTTTCCATAAATTTGGATCCTTATGTAAAAAGTCCGAAGAAATGCGAAATCTTTGAAAAAACTGTATCGATTTATTTGATATTAACTCAAATGGAAGATCTTTACATACAAAATGTTGAACGTCATCGAATTGTAAAACAATTTTTTTGGAGAGTCTTTTTCTTGTTCGCCAGCATTGATTTCTTCTTCGTTTGTTTCCAATATCCGTTTTGCCATTTTAGATTTAGTATTATAATCAATGCGATCATCAAATAAAGAAAATACTGCACATTCATCATTTAAGTACCACAAATGGTTGATACATTTTTTTATTGCTTCTTCTCCTATTTGTTTATTATGTTTTGTATAATCAACTAATTTTTTTAAAATAATTATATCATTGAGTGGAGCTGTTATTGGATCGGGAGCACATATCCATGCCTCTAAATAACATTTTACAATGAAACAACATATTTCTTGTAAACCTCTTTTTTCAATTATCGAGAGCTTTAACTGCTGATAGAATAACAACATTTTAAAACAATATACCTATCCCTTTTGCCATCCATCGAGCTAAATGGTAAGCACCAGGTGGCCGAAAATGTATACCTCGTGAAGGTGTTTTACCCAAAAATATCATAACAAGTTCTATAAATTCTTTATAGTCATCTCTTGGATATTTATCTTCGATTGTTTTTGCACAAAATAATAAAACATCTTCTACTACATTTTTTAATTCTTCATTAATTTCTGGGTGCGATGTCCATGTATGAAAATTACGTAAATCTAAATTTACCCAGTTATTTTTAAATCGTTTAAACAATGGAATATCAGGTCCAGACATAACAGATAGTTTTGATGTAAAAAAAAACAGCTTGTAAAACGATTTCAAAAATATGGTGACGACAAGCAAAAAATAGAATATTTCGATTTAACTTTTGTTCAAGAAGAATGCATGCACCATTTAGACGGCCCCTATTTGATGCAGTTGTGTCAAATACAAAAGCTTCTACTTGATCTAATAGACACCAATCATTTAAAGTATTATATACAGCTGAACATACTTCATTCCCTTTCCCAGATGATAATTGTGGAACTCCTAATAATTGTTCAACATTAGGAGCTGTAATAATCACAGGAAGACGATCTATTTTGTCCCTTCCTGTTAAGTCGGGTAGTAATTTTGAATCCCAATGCACAACGCAAAATTGGTGATTTAAATTTAAAAAATTAGATTTTATAGTTTCCGATAATTGTTTACGACAATTTTCTCAAGCTCTTTTAATTGAAGATCTATTAATTATGTACTCACTAGTATTGACATTAAACGATTCAGCTGCAGCTGTAAGTAAATGCACAGCATCTCGGTCACTTATTTTGCATTTGTCTAATGCAGCCGATAAACGGTAGTTTATAATTTCTTTTCTTGCTCGCTTGATCTTTGATGGGCCAGGACTTTCCAAATTTATAATTTCCTTTCATCAGTTAAGTTTTCATCTGATACATAGTCCATAGACATAACTGTAACATAAAAAGTTCTTACAAACATTGTTTTTGAAAGTAATTATTTAAAATTATTAATTTATATTTATTTACATTAATTTTAAAAATATAATTATAAAATAAAATTAATATTTAAACTACCTGTTGATGTCGATGCAATTTCGTGTTTTTCTTTCTGTTTACCCTTTTGTTTTTCTAAAGACAATTTACGAAATTCAAGACCGGTTAATTTTAAATCTTTACCCATCATGCATCCATGACGTCCTTTTTCACGTTGTTTTATTAAAAATAGCTTATCTTCGTGAATTTTTATAATATTTAATGCATTAATATGCGCAATGTCAAATAAGTCATTTAAATTGTCATCAAATGTATTCATAATTTTTTTTTGTGTATCCGTTTTTCTATTTTTATTTCTATCTAATTTTCTCCATTCTTCATAGAGTTTTTTAATTTTTGTTACGCAATTTGATCGATCTTGAATGGCTATACGTGCTTTTATCCAAAAAATTTGACATTCATCAAACACAAGACTAGCGCTATCATGTAATGTTAGTTTGACTGTACGCATATTGTAAAAGAGAACACTCAAAATATCTCTTTTTGATGGAAGCTTACTACCGGTTATTTGATTTTTCATAACACCTACCAAGAAAATTAACTGTCTTGACATAATTAAATATGTAAATTAAAATGTATACTAAATGTAAACACAATATTAAACAATATTTTAGAATAACACTACTACAATCACTATACGTTCAACCACACCGCTGTACACTCAGTGAATAACAGAAAATTAAACATGTTGGCTAATTTAATTTAAGTAATAGGTATTTAATGACACCGATATTGATAATGATAAACTGTAATGTGGTCATAAATCGTTTTCAACACATAGTTATCGCCAAACAAATATCTATATTACTGAAAATGATTACAAATCTACTATATCTTTTATCGATTTGCTAAAGATAATTATTTCCGAAATTATTATTATTATATTATATAATCCAAATATTACTACAATACAAAGGTCACTTCACTACAAGTTTTGCAAAATAAATAAAATATTTCGTACTTAACTATTTTTCTTAGAAAATAACAGACTTACGACAAATTTTGTAAATATATTTTTTATGAGGAATAATAAAATATATAATTAACCTTCTATACATTTTCCGCTAAGTATTATAGTTTTGGAGTTAAATTAAAAAAACTATAAAACTACAAAACTACCCTCTATGGCAAATGTTCAACCCTCTTGAGGCACGGGAAGGGGGGTGAGTCATTATAACCAAATTTACCCTAAATAACTTACTCATTGTAATGAACAAAATGGCGGGTACCTGGCTAAAAATTATTTTAAAAAAAATTTCTTCTTCTATAACTAAGAACCACCCTAATACATAGGTATTCTAAAATTTACTCAATTCCCCGTAAGTTTACTAACTTTTTGTTTTTTTTTAGCGAACGCAGAACATGGTGAAAACCATCAGAACACACAGTCCACAGCAGTGATTGGGTTTATATTTAACGATATTAATTAAACTCACTTTCTAACGATAAGTGTCTCAATAACCAACGTCATGCCTTCTGCTTCAGTTGTGCCAATGCTGCCATGAAAGAGGGTCTGGTCTTGGGTCACAGTCCAATTGGAATATCTAGTAATTTCCAAGTGCTGTTTGAACTCGTGCATAGATCCAGGATTTGGTGGGCACTTCTACTACTAGCCATTTACTGTCTATGACACTCATATAGAGCAATGTTTACATTTCTAAACCTTGGTAATGCTGTGACCTTGTTATAGATTTCTCTTACAAAGCACGTAATAAAATAAATTCACGTTGGGTTCCATCCCTCCTCGTATTGATCATGTAAAAAATTCTGTTTAATCTTGTCATCATATTTTCCTATTACCCATGTAACATAGATTGTTATTTTTTCAAAAAATTAAGTTTTAGTTACAGATGGAAAATACGTTCGAGTAAGATGTCAAATCAAAACAGGATCCTTCATTTTTATTATAAAGATTAATTCTCGATTGTTTTGATGGCAATGGTCGACGCCAATAAATTATACATTTATTGTCATTAACTTCCTGAAAAAAAAAAAAAGAATTTCCCGGATCTGAAAAAGTATTACCTCGTGTGATTGTAGGAGATGAGGCTTTCAGGCTCCACACAAATATTATGAAACCATATGAAGGATCCTATGCAACAACCTGGTATGTCCACTTTTGGAAATTGTTCAGGAGAAGAAATAAACATTTAAATTCTTTAATATTTGTCATACACTAGGTTTAAATAGAAAACATGTAGTATTCCTTTTTCTTTATTGATATTATGTATTCAAATTACAATTATACTAATACAAAAAGTGTTATGACCTATAAATAGTATTATTTCTCTTAA